AACCCACCTGATGAGTTTGGCGTGCGTCGACTCCCCTACACAGCTTCGGGATATCGTGCTTCAACTTGAAGATGCAGGGGAGGTACCCGGTGTGTAAATTAGTAATTGCACTGACTGATGAATACAAGGCAGTATAGGAACTTGTTTGAGAGACTATATATATATTATATTAATGTATTGATATATTTATGGGGTGTACTTTCCTTCGAATTATCAGCTCCTGTCAGGTCAAGATTGGTGTCAGCCACCATACGCTGGCGGACGGCAATGTGCAATCGGACAAGCAGCTAGTGTTTGTCCTAGACCATCGTTCTTTAGAAGAAGGGGAGACCAAGAAACGCAAGAAAAACGCTGATGGCACCAAGCAGAAAAACGGACCGTCTTTCAAGAATTTTGGCGCTTATCTCCAGCCATCCAAAATCAAAGCAAGCTCAAAGCTCATCATCGGATGGCGTGCCAGGCAGATGTTCAACGCATTCTTGTTCACTGTTGAAAGAACATTGTTTCATAGCTTTAAGATGCTTTAAGGTTACGGCTCCAATGTGATCATTCTTCTGGGTCAGGCTTGATACCAAGTCCAACGGCTTGAAGGTCTTGGTCCCGATCCGACCCATCGCTTGCGTGTCGGGGGTGATGGACATAAACGCAACCATCGTTCGTATGATGTGAGCTCGGAGTTAGGAGCAATGTTTTTGCCAGCATCATTGTCTCACGATGCTAGTTTTGGTTTGGTGGGGCAGGGTCTGATACAATTTAAAACAATTTGCAGAGTTTCCAGCGTCAAACAACTTGCAGCTTCAAACCTTTGTTCCAGTCCAGTCACTACCTGATGTTTGTTTTGCTTCCTGCCCCACGATGCTTCCGTAGTCGGCTAGTTACTGCTTAAGCCCAAATGATTCTGCAGAACCTTCCACACACCAACAAAAGAAAAGAACACATGTTGAAAGAATCTGTTTGAATTATTGGAGTCATGGAGGGAAGAGCTGGGGTGGGGCTTGCGAGATGCAGTAGTGCTCTAGCTGTGCCAAGCCGGAAGAATCCCGCTTGCTTGCCGTTGAAAACTGCTCCACACATGCATTTTGGTGCTGCCCCTTGTCAAGCATTTCATTGCGTGGCCAGACATGAAACTATTTCCAAATAAACTCTATGGGCATCGTGTGCATTTTACTTCTCGAAGGTTCCTAGGTGCCAGTGAGAAGCGGTAGAGGGTACAGGTAAAAGGTGCAAAGCCATGCCTTCCAACAAGAAGCATTCTAAAGACAGTGATGATGAGAGTGTGCGGTGCTTGACCCCTAATCCAAGCTTTCGCCGACCAGCGCCTTTGGATTAAATTAAATTAGATGAGCACAGGCACAGGTTTCTTGCAACTCGAGCAAATGCATCCCTGATTCCAACCAATCATTTGGATTACATTGAGTCCAGAGCATGGATCTCCGCCCCAAGGACTTTAATCTGGGCGCTATCTTGGGGGAACGTGGTACATCTTCGACAAGTGCGATTGGCCGACCGCCCCCTATGGCTGCCCCAGTTTTGCCTGCACCTCGCGAAGATGCCAAGACCAAGAAGTCGCCTGCAGGTGCTTCAGCCCCAATGGATCAGCCATGGTAGATGTTAGGGAGACCAAAGTTGACAGGTTCTGCAAAAAGGGTCCTCCCTGTTTTTGCGGTTTGACCAGGGGGTCCAACGGGTTCAAAGCCGATTTTCTACCATGACCCTACACAATGCCAGCTATAGAAGTTTAACTCGACCATCATGAGTTTGTCCCATTGCACTGACTCATAGTTCATGAAGCTTCAACAGGCTGATGGTTAACAACTTGTCTTCACTTCAACATCAGGATCCAGCCAGCGGCCAAGGGTTTGTTCCATAATTATGTTTGCAGGGTCTAGGTCAGCTGTTTCAATTCAAGCTCCAAGCTTTTAAAGTACTGTTAAACATATTGGTACAGGTTCGCTGGTCCTTCAAAGAGTTTGAGCCAAAGAAACATAGTAAGAACCAAAAGATTGGGCAAATCCCAACACTTTAGAGAGTCCCAACTGTCAACTGTCTAACCTCCCATCCCCCAAAGAAGAAGAACACTTGCAGCGGTGGCCCATCCGAGGACAGGGTGAGTCCCACGTCTTGCCTCCGAGATTTTCATCAGAAGAGTCCGCACCAGAGGATGGCAAAGAGGCCAAGTCGAGTAAGACGACAAAGAAGGCAACCAAGGAGAAGCCGGGCTCCAAGAAGAGACAGCGCAAGCATGAGGATGAGGATGAAGATGAAGAGGAAGACCCGGACCAAGACAACCAAGCACTGCCCGGTTGGGGCGACGATGATGATGAAGATGAAGGTGACACGTTTGGGCTTGACCTGAAAGGCATTTTGAACGTGCCTGGTGAAAAGGGCTCTAAACCATCGAAGAGACCGGCAACAAAGAAAGGAGGAACAAAAAGACCAGCAAGCAGGAAGCGAGATGAGGCACCCCTCCATGAAATTGCTTGCTTCTACCAACCCTCGTTTCCTGATTGTTTTACCATACCTCTATCCGCTTGGCTCTGCGAGGTTTTGCCCTTCTACAACATGATTGAGGACAAGGAGTTCATCTTGGACAAGAGTTGGAGTGAGGAGCAGCCGTTACCTGGTGAAATATTTTTGATTGCCAAGCAAGCTGACTTATTTGGTCATGCGTTATGCTTAGAATTAAAGATCCTCATGGTTGCTGCTTCTTTGAGAGATCCTCAACATCATGAACAAGTCGCGGCTGATCCGTATCTCAAAATGAATGCTGTGGAAGAATTTATGCCATCTTATTTAGATACTTTGCCCGACGCCACCTTTACCTCCTATGAGACCGAACATGGTGAAGGTCCAGTCGAACCAGGTCAAGGGATGTTGGACAACACGTTCCGTGGTCTCGACTTTGAGGGTGGTCACCATGATCATGTTTCAATGTCGCTTGCCTTGACAACTTCTTCACCAACATGTTTTCAGAAACCAACACCAGGAATGCAACTCCCAATATTGGGCTGATCTTGAGTCCCTGTGCTACAACCAAGGGATGCTTTGGACGAGCCCGACTGCATCGACGCCGCTGAGACAGTGATGCAATCCCAAACGCCCGAGGTTGAAATAGAGGACACACCCTTTAGAACTCCTTCTCCACCAAACAACCAGGAGGGGCTGGAAACCTATGAGAAGATGGTGTCTTAACGAAATGAGTTCTTTTTTGAACAAGAAAATTATGCAAAGACATGCAAATATTCTGCAACAACGATGCTCTACTAACTCTGTCTTCAAGAGAGCATCCACCAGTACTCAGGTTCAACTCCGCCGAATGGAACGATGTGACGACTTCGAATCGCTCCTGGAGCCTCGTGCTCTCTTCCATCAGGACATGATTGGCCTTAGGGTAAGCAAAATTTGCAGTTATGTTTGTCTGTGGGCATCGCAAGAAAGTTCACAGTGACTTCTGTGATTTTTGTCAAGTGAATCTAGCGTGCGCAGCGGGCGCGTGGTTTTCTGCACTTTCACGGTTGGATTCAAGTTTTGTGTGTGTGTGTTGCAGGATGCTTCCATTGGGGATGGCATTGCTGAAGGATCTGATTTGGATGAGGGGATGGGAGTGGAGGAAGCCCCCCCGGATGTGGATGGTTATGGGAATGAAGAGAGCGCAGCTTTGGTTCTTGAGATCCCGAAACAAGTCTTGCCTGAGAACTCTGCGGAGAATGCTCCCAAGCGTTCAACGCAAGCTGTGGGTGCATCTGCCTGCATGGTTTCCCCCCTTTCTATTGCCAAGGCGAAAGTGAAGGTGACACCAAAGGGTCGGGGGAAGCCAAGGGGTGTGGCAAAGCCGGACAAGGCTCTGGCAAAGACCAAAGCATCAAAGAAAAGGGGTCCAGTGCAGCCCAAGCCAAAAGCAAAGGCTCCAGCAAAGCCGACTCCCAAAACCAAGCCAAAAGCGAGGGGGCAGGTAAAGTCGCTTAAAGATGATCCAGTGTGGCGGAAGATGCATTCTGTCCCTAGACTGAATGGCTACCTACCCATTGTGTTGTTGTGTTCAATTGTGTTGAACTCATTGTCATCCAATTGTGGCATTGACGGGGCCCTGGTTTCTGGCGTCTCAAAGCTATCCTGTAGCAAGCTAGGTCTACTCGACGGGCTTCAAAACAGCCAAGCATGCTGACAAGAAGAAGTCTGCTGATGATGCCCGGAAGAAGTAACTTCGATGAACAATGACTGATGCACCACTTGCGCCTACCCTTTTTGTGCCTTAGAATACCGTTGTCCAATCCTAGGTGGGTGATTGAACACGGACCTCGAGATCACTGGCTGGTACAGAAATGGTTGAAGAAGTATGAATCTGATTCTGATGTGGTTGAGGCTTAATTTTTAGCCTGCCTACTTTCAACAGGGGTGGATCTGTCAAAAAGGATCCCAAGCTGAGCTGCGGACCTAATGCCGCAGGCTGACACAAAGGGGCTTGTGAGGAAAAAATGGCAAAGGCGGCGCTGCGGCATTGCAAACCTTATCTCCCAGCTTCATCAATCTTCTACATAATGTCAAACCCTATTATCTTCTACATCATGTTTAAGTATTATGGTTAAAGAGCCACTCACCTTTTGGAAAGGAACCAGTTAGGACTGGACTTGGCTAATGGTTGTCACAGGTCTTTGTCTTGTATGGCATAAGCAACCGGCCAAACTGAAAGTGTTTGGTGACCTTTGTGGTTTCAATCCTTTAACAGTGCTCAACTCACGAAGCGGCATAAGCGGGTGCAAATGAAACATGTGGACACCACCAGCCAGGGAAGTAAAGAACCTCCAACGAGCAATCGTTTTGGTTGTTTTTCTTGATTTGCGATTCCCTCTTGCCATAGTGGGTGGATGCGTGAACGTAGGTGAATAGTGGACATGTTGCCCGTCAAAACCTTCCCACTTGCCCTCACCAACAGCTTTCTCCTCAAGCCCTTCGAATGTTCTCAGCCAAAAAATGCGAGCGACTGTTCAATCGTTGTCGAGGATCCGGGCCTCGCAGCAACGGCGGGCGGAGCAACGGCGGGCACTCAAGGAGCAGTGTAATTACGGTGCTTGGACTGGTATTGGGACCGTTCTTCTTTCGACAAGCCGGTGAAAAAGCTTAATTGGAGAGGCCGACGTTCCTTGAAATTTGGGAGAGGGGTGGTTTGTTTGTTTTTGTGGGGGAGGATTGATAGCGTGGCAGGTGGGTTGCAAAAAGGGCATGGAAATTGAAGGGGCATCTTTTTCTAAACGAATGCGTAGTGAAGTGTTCCCCTTTATAGTTGGGGGCTGGACCTCTGTTTGTGTCGTGTGCGTCGGCGGGAGTCGTCGCCGGTTCGTCGCCGGGTTGCTAATTCCTCTACAGTGCATCGGGGAAGTTTTTGGAGAGGGTTTTGGATGGAAGCATGAAGCAGCAGATCCGTGTGAAATAGCGTAGAACGTAGCATGTGGAAGTGGCGAGGATGATTTTGCTGCGCCGGTGCAGCGTTTTGTGAGATCCTCAGTTGCCTTAGTTGCCTTTGCTGTGACAATGGGATTTAAGTTTCAGGCCGTTGCCTCCAGGACTCCAGGCAATGTTTTCGTTTGAAGCCTTTTAAGTCAGGCAAAATTTCGATTGTGGGGGATGTGAATGTTCTCAGAAAGTGTCGAAGTCACTCCAAACGTGTGGTACGGTGCAATTCTTGTGGCTGCGGACATGAAGATGTCATGTCGTCACTTTTCGTTTTGTGCGTGTTGGAGGTGTCGAAGTTGAACTGTCCTGGCAGGCGCAGGGAGTCGTGAGGTTGCGACGTTTGGCGGAGGTGAATGTTGTTGTGCCAGGGATTGGCGTGTCAGCAGCCGAGGTTTTTCAAGGTCTGGGATTGCGAAACTGCTTGGCCGGGCTGCTTGATGTGGAGTGACCTCAGTTCTATTTTGGATATGAAGGAAGGGCTTTTGGGGACCCCATGTGGGGGGCCTATGTGAGTCAATGTTTAGAAGGGGGAGGGAGGGAGGGAGGGAGAGAGAGAGAGAGGGGGCCCAAACGGCTCAGTAGACCAAAGATTGCGTTTTGGGGGCTGGTTGTTTTTGTTGCACAGACGCGCCACAACATGCGGCCGCCCCAAGCCACAGGGGTGAAGGGGGAGCCGAACCCAAGGCCAAATCCAAGACCAGGCTTTTGATTTCTCAGCGTGTGTCAACCTGTGCCACGTGTCTCCCATTTGTCTCCCACTGTCTTCAGTTAGCTGTGTGATTTTTACTCTTGTTTTCCAGTTCGCTGTGGGTGCGCATGATTTTACACTTGGTGCTTTATGATTTTACATTTGTCTTCCACTTGGAAGGGAAGACACAGAGTGAACTCGCAAGTTTTGATATGTCCCTTAAGCCCACTCTTCGTCAATGTGTTTAGATGTAGGTTTGGTTGTTCAAAGTCGGTTTGCGCCAACAAATCTTGGGGAGAAGACTTGGGTCAGCCTCAGGACTTTGATGTGTGTGTGTGTATGTATGTTGTTTGTACAACCACATCCACATCTATACACACACATGTGTATATATATATATATGTGTATATGTATGTGTGTGTGTCTCAGCTGACCCTCAAAGCAATTCCAACCCATCGTGCAGTAATTTAATTGTCCCTTGTGCCCAAAATTGACACACAGGCAACAATTTGGATGTATATAACGGATGTGATTTTCTACAAACACATCAGTGGTTTGCAATGGTTGTTGCACGTCTTTGTTTGGTATTACGGCATGACAAACAAACACCCCGTAAACTTGATTGGATGCAATTCTCCATTTTCACAATGAACAACCTGCCAAACTGGAACTGTTTGGTGACCTTGGCGGTTTCAACCCGTCATAAACATGCATGTTTATTTTCACTAAAACGGTTTAACTCACGAAGCGACTGCAAACAAAACATGTGGGACACCACCAGCCGTTGAAAAAATTCCCATTGAGCAAACCATTTGTTTCTTCTCTTGATTTGCGATTCCCTCTTGCCATAGTGGGTGGATGCGTGAACGTAGGTGAATAGTGGACATGTTGCCCGTCAAAACCTTCCCACTTGCCCTCACCAACGGCTTTCTCCTCGAGCCCTTCGAATGTTCTCAGCCGAAGAATGCGGGCGACCGTTCAATCGTTGTCGAGGATCCGGGCCTCGCAGCAACGGTGGGCGCTGGAGCCGGAGCAACGGCGGGCACTCAAGGAGCAGAGAAGCAAAGCACGCCAGGTGCCTTGCAGCAGGGGTCGTTTGTTTGTTTTTTGTGGGGGAGGATTGATGGGGTGGCAGGTGGGTTGTAAAAAGGGCATGGGAATGGAAGGGGCGTCTTTATGGTGGCAACTGTGGCATGGTGCCGAAAGAGTAGTATATAATTGTAACTATATTTGTTCTCTAGCTGCGGTGGGTGAATTGGAGTACTCATGCACAGAGGAATGTTGATAGGAAAGGAATCTTGGACCCTTAAACCTTTTGATAGGAATCTTAGACCCTTAAACCCTTAAACCTTTTGATAGATAGGATTTCTTACTAAACGACATTTTCTGGTCAATGCCATCACACATGCGGCAGATTCTTTTTGCTTCGCACACCTGTGGGATCTCAGCCACTCGTCTTGACTTGCACCCATCCCAGGAACTGGACTGGAAGGCGGTCAAAGAATTTCTTGACTTGCACCAGTTCAGCGACGTCCCTTGGCAGAGTTTGCGATTGAAGTTTTTTTTTTTTGGGGGGGGGTTGGTGCCCTGTGAGAATCCGAAGTTCTTCTGTTGGTGGCGGTCCAATATCAAGGCCTCAAGGCAACAAATCAACAAGACTACTCTACTCTACTGGTCTTCGTGGCGATCGCATCAGCTGCTCACGACTCGGCCCCGTGGTTTACCACCACTCTGGGTGAACACTTCGAATCGGCTTCGAATCGACCACTTTGGGTTGGAGAGCATGCTCAGTCAGACTGCGATGCGAACCCCAGTCTGAAGGCACCGTCCGATCAGCGAGGGGTGACAAAACGTTCTCTGCGCGTACCGGGTTCCCGGTGACCACGTTCTTTGCGCGGCTGAGGTGAATGCTGTGTAAAGGTCTCCTGGTTTGGGCTTCAACGCTCCTGTCCAATGAAAGTAGCCCTGTGGGTAGGAAACGTGACCCTTGGAGCTTTAGCCGGCGCACCTGGAAGTCCAACATGTTGACGCACGTGTTTTTCCGCGACACGACCGATTGGATTGGGTGCAGTGACACATTGAGGTGGTTGTTGGCGGATCTCAACCCGAGTCGCATGGGTTGGGTTGCTGGTGTGGTGTGGCGACTAAGGAGAATGATGCAGCTACTCTCCAAATTTGGCGCCACCTGTGCTCCAGTTCGCTGGGCCGGCAGCGAAGCTTCGCTAGTGTCCGGTGCTGGTGCATTAGAGGGGACGCGCTTTTAAATTACTATATAGAGGAGGCTGGCAGTGGAACACATTTGGACAATACATGAAAATCCTTATATATATAGTTACTGCGGTTGCTGTATACAATTTGTATTTACACTCTGACTCACTAACATGGAAGTGGAAAATGGTCCCTTGGAAGACTACTTTCCACTACTTTCCTCTACGAACAATTTTTTTCCACTTCCATGTTAGTGAGTAGGAGTGTTTAGATGTTTATAGTTTATGCTTCATTAAAAAAATATGTACCGTTTAGGGATAACATGGCATACCCCAATAACATAATAATATACCGTCTTCAAGACTCTTAGCGCACAATCCCAAGGGCATGGTTACTACATGCAACTGATTACTCAGGTTAGCCCAAGCATGCTGCCAAGAACGACCAAGGAGCTTTTGCTCTTCCGCTCTGCTCCAAGTAATGGTATAGAGAGAGAAGTAAGACTGAGCGTTTTACATCGTTCTTAAACAAAACACACTTCTTCCTCTTCCAGGCGTTTTCTTGGACTACGGGCCGTCCTGGCGGCGTCCTGGGGTCCTCCGAGACGACCGAGACAGTGCAACAGAGACAGGTGGGGTGTTGGTGTTCGGACAGAGGGAAAAGCAAACAATTCAACGTCTCAGGTGTCCTGAAAAGCTGTTTTTTCCATCCTTTTTCCACGGCGGCCAGCCAAGCGCATGGCGCATCGCAGAACCGTTGACCAAAAGAGTCGAACGCATCATGCGACGCACGTTGAACAGAGTGACCGCGCTGTTGTCACAAGCCCTGGGGGGCTTTTAAACCACGTACATTGCGCCACAAAGGCATTGTGTAATGAGGCGAGTAAGGGGCTTGAAGCAAACCAACCGACTTGTGATCATCCTTGTCAGGCAGCCAAATACATCTAGGTTACGCCACCCATGCAAGAGGCTATGCATTTATACATGAATTGAATTACATCCTTAGAAGGTATCGTTCACTGACCCTGACCCGCCTGAGTTGCAGCATCTCCAAAGACCTCGGCCGGCACAGGCAGGTCGAAAGGGGCCATTCAGTCGTCGGTGCCCAGATTTGGAGACATGTCCAGTTGGGAGTGCGCCCAGTCTCACGCTTCGAACAGAGGCTTGGATAAGAGCTTCAGAAATCGGATCCGTCTGGGAAGCGAGAGCTGCTGTCTGGGGAGTGCACGGATCGCTGGCTTTTGACCCCCATCCCTTGGACCACCAAGCTCATCGACCCTTGGTGGGCGACCGGCAGACCGATGCTGCCGCGCATGTGGCCATTACTGTTTAGTGAGAGTATAGCCTGTTTTTTTCTCACACCGTCCACCACACATCATAACAGGTTTAGCACTTGTGGCAAACTTTGCTTCAGCTGGTGTTGCTTTGGAGGCTCTCTAGATACGCCCTTGAACTTCCCTTTGGGATCTTCGATGCCTTGATCAGGCAAGAGTCCTGGCTCAAGACGGAAATTCGTTTTGCACACATGGCTTTGGACATGTGATCGTCGAGATCGCAATTGTCAAGTTCTTGCCTGGACCTGGTCACTACACATCTCTGCACGTTGGGATGCATTGCTCGCAATGCTGTGCAGTTAGATGAATCATGAGGTGACTCCAACAGTAAGTCGTCTGGGAAGAAATCGTTCCAGCTCACGTGTCACATCAACATCGTCTCATGGATTTTTGCAGTCCTTAAGTGCACTCCTCAATGCTTAGCTCCTTTTAGTTTACAGTTGTTTTTTTTCACCCACTAACCATTGCAGTGCATGCAAATAAAAGGCTCAATGTGGAAATCCAAGGGCAAGCAGGAGATCCTGAGCAAGATGTGTGTGTTTGATTTGTCTTCGACCAAACGTTTCAAGGTTGCCAGTGTGAGAGTAGCACACATCTATATAGGCCTCTTCTGGCATTGCCATCATGGAGCATGGCTTTGACCTGGCAAATCCATGATGTTTCGACGTTGATCAACCAGCCAGACAATGGTCATTATTTGGACGAACAACGATCACACACACACACACCCAGATGCACCAGCTTTTGTTCGTTTGGACCATCGGGGTGGTTTTCCTGAAGAACATGGAGCCTCCGAAGCCAACACACTTGCACAAAGAATCCAACATAAAAGCCAAGTTTTGTGGGGCTTGTGCTATCTATACCAGGATGGCAAAACATACAGCCTGTGATTTTGATGCTTCATTTTGGGTTCAAACTGTTTCAGCAAACTCGCCGCGCTTGAAAGTTGGGGGTGTTGCAAGACCCCACCGATATGCCAACTAACATACTCAACCCGTTTCATGTGCATGGCTGACCAATTTCCAAGCACCAGACGCCTTCATCTCCCTTTAATTTGACCATCCGTGCAGAGAACCAACCATCGGACGCTTGGATCTGACGAACGTGCAACTCTCGACTTGGATCTGACGTTCAAGCCATCAGCTCCTTCCGCCAGCACGTTTGGAATGCAGCAGGTGATCTCTGTTAAGCAAAGCAAACCAGCGGGACGGAGAATTTGCTTCAGAGAGGGGGAGAGCTTGTGAAAGGTGCTTTGTGCTGATGGTTGTAGAACCCGCCGAAGAAGTTCCAAGTTTGTGTGTGAATCTGTTTGTTCGAAGTTCCGATGGGACCAATGAGGGGACCGAGCCTACAACATGCTTCATTTTTGGTTCAACCGGGTGGGGGACCGAGTTCAGTGGTGCTTTTCACGCCACGTTCGCCACGTTCTCGCACCCGTCGGAACTCGCGTTTCACTTTCACGCCGGGGGGGGGGGGGAACCGTTCGGCTCCACGAGAGGTTTCAGGCCCAAAACCGCGGGTGGGATCGAGGAGGCGAAAGCGCTGGGGCTTTGAAGTCGTCTTCGCGCTGGACCGAAGCGGTCAGACCGATGGTGGGTCGGAGCATGTGTTATATACATTAGACCGGGCCGAATCCGTTAGATAGACCAGATCCAGCTGGGTAGCCAGAGGCCAAGCTTCAAGACCGGGAGCATGCTCTGAACATTTTGGGCGGTGGAGGAACAGGATAGAACAGGTGAACCTGGTAGGAAAAGGAAAGAACGGTTCAGGACACTTCCCCGAAAACAAATCCAGGACTGTTCCAGAGTTGGTGGGTAAGTTATAATATAATATTATTTTTTTATACAATATCCGCGTTCGGAAAGTGCATCACGTGGCACGTGGTCTACTGCAAAAGCGTCATGTCAAAGTGGAAGAACTCGTCTTCCAAGCGGGCCAAGGGATCTTTCAGTCTGGTGCAAAGGTTGGTAACAAAGACTAGCTGCAAGCTGTTTATGTAATTAGATTCTTTATTTGTGGCTGGCGATAGTGTTCAATATGTAGGCGGAGAACTGCCTGATGCATGCTCACATGCTCGCTTGGACACGGAGGTGATCGGAGGTGTGTTTGAATGGACTCCATCCCCCCAGGGATGAATAGAGTGTGCCCTGATCCGAGTGTTTTTATTCAATGTTCTCAGGCTTTCCTCAGCTCTTCACAAGCTTGTGGCTGATCACGATGGCACGTGCAGTGCTTTATCACCGGTACGCTTCAGTCGCGCTTCAGTCATGTTTGAACAGTGCTGAGTGCTGCCATTGCAACTGACGGACGTGCAGTCCCGCCCGCGGAAGATGCTCGAAGCACAAATGACCTGCAGACTGCCTCGTGAAGACCCCTGAGAGTTGAACAAGAAGTGTTGTGACTTGTGACTTGGGAAAGCAGGATGTCATTTTGCAAGAGCTCCTTCACCTCCTTCCCAGTGGCCCAGTGGTGTCAGAGTAGAAGAAACCTCAGCCTTCACATCACTTTTCACCTGGCAATGAGACGGACGGACTCCAATCAGACGGACTCCACCAGCGATTCGATGAGTACCACAGAGACTCCCTTGCGCAGATGGGAACTACAGAGATGACCCACGAAGAGCTGGGAGAAGACCATGATACTTTCTGGGGAGCTAAGGGCATCGCTAAGAAGCTACTAGTAGCAATGCCCTTGTTACTGGTAGCGTCCTTGCTACTAGTAAACTGGTAGCGAGGTCCTTGTTACTACCAGCAGTACGTAGTGACTGATTTCAGAGATCTTTCATTTTCAATCTGTACGTACTTGGAATGGTTGAACCCACTGACTCATTCTTGAAGTGAGTTGAATCCACCCAATTTGCGTTGGCAAGAGCTCGCCTATCACCAACAGCAACAAGTGCACTTCTTGGTGAAAGTGTGTGTGTGTGTGTGTGTGTGTTTTTTCCTCAATGTTCTTTGATTGATGCTGGGCTGTGCCTACCCATCCCGGCTCAAGATGTGTGCATTAGATATGATATCGTCGTTCATGGGCGGTTTTGCTCTGCCCATCCTAGATTTTCTACCGCAAGCACTGGTTGCAAGTAGTGAACATGTGCAAGTGAAGATCCAAAAGCTTGGTCACAGTCGCAGGTTTTTGATTGGGCAGCCGCGGGTTGGTTCAGCCGCGTCGCAGATTCGACAGGGCGTGGAAACCCGCGTTTTCGGAGGCATTCGCACTGTTGCTGTTGTCGTCACCGTGCTGACCGTCATACATGACAAAGACAGCGTGGGTGAAAAGGAGTGTCAACATCCGTTGGTTTTTCGCCAAAGGACATGGAGCACGTTTTTCCAACACCTTTCACGACCGAACGTGCGGACTTCTAGAAGTGTCACGGATATTGGAGCACCTTCCCTGAGCTTTCTGGAGCATGGCCAGCATATGGCATAGGCCCCAAATTCTTCCCGAAAAGCAACCCTCCCCGCAGGTCCCTTTCTGCATGAAATTCGTGGTTGGCTGTCTTGCCTGCCGACTGTGTGCTTTGGCGACTGACTGTGTGCTGCCGTACATCGTTTTTCTGCCATTTGCCTTTCTCTCAACACTGCAAAGACGTGAATAACTCTACAACAATGGGCCTTGGTGGAAAGTGCATTTGCGTGCATCCATGCCTTTTGGGCGGTCCCTCTTGTTCTCGTTCCTTCTTCTTTTACAACTTGTTTTGGAATGGTTTTCCATAAGAAGAGAGCCAGCCGCGGCCACTGTATATAAGTTGAAGTTGGGTCAAGGTG